TAGACTTGGTCGGACTTGTTTTATGGTTGTGAATGAGATTGACTGTGTTTATTCTCCATATTCCACATGCATCTGCAGATCCAGTTATCCTAGCTTTGCAGTCAATCTGAACGGTTGCCTGCGGCTTCAAAGAACCACTCGCAGTACTACTTCTTCGACCTTCACGGCTGCAAGTCAACACTACATATCTCACAACTCCGTCATCATCCTTTTGCGAATTTCTTTTTCTAACTGGAAATCCTACGCCGCACGCATATCTTTTGTAAAAATTAAAGATTTCTTTTTCACCATTGAACTTCATTCCCACCTTGGGCTCAATGACATTGTCTACTCCTACATTTCCATCATCAACGAAGTTTGCACTGTTGAAAATGTTGTCATTTTCGTCTTCTAATAGAACGACGTCATCAACCTCTTCCAAATTTTTTTTGCCTGAAGTAAGAAAAAGAAAATAATGTTACAAGTAATTGACGAAACAAATATTGAATTCAAATAATCATTCTTCTCTACTTTGTCATTTCAGATGCTTTTTTTTTCAAGACAGGAAAGTTGAAACAAACAGGTTTTGAGTTTAAACACAAAGTAATTTTATTGATGAAATAACCTTACAAATTTTGAACACACCAAAAACACTAAATAATTGTATTTAGCAATGAAACACTCAATTTGTTCTCTCTCTTTCCACTCCCTGTTTGTCACTTTACTTTCACATACACATGTAGCAAACATACATACATATATATATATAGGTGCTGAAGTCGGTGGCTTTAGTTTCTACAATTTTTCAATTATGGTGGTAAACTCTAGTTCCAGCAGGTAATGGTAGCTCCCAGATTCATCTAGATTGGTGGTGAAAATTTATCAAAATGGTTTCTTCTAGACTTGGCTGCCATTCCCAATTTCTCTACAATTTTCTGTAAATGGTGGTGCTGTATTTTCAACAGGTTTCGTTGGCTTTGTTGCAAGGAAATAGCGCGGTTGTTGTGAAATAACACATTACATTACAAAAACGAAACTCAACATTAACAAAGACGAATTTGGTAATCAGATCTGATAATGAAATAACAAAGTTCATCTACCTTTGTCCTCCATCTATTTGAATAGATGAAGCCAGTGATTGCCTCAAAATGTACTATTTGTTACGCCGATGACACCTTCTTCGACGGGCAGCAAGGTTCACTTGTTTGGGGCCAGAGAAACCGCGGCAATTTTCGCAATTTTCGGACCTTTTTTTGAATTTCGCAGAGCTCAGGTATTCATGTGTTTCAGAATAGCTCTTCTTTAACCGGCCCAATAAGCAAAAAAAAAACCCTTGACACGTCATCGTGTAAACCAACATGTTGAGGCCAGGGTACGAATAGCTTTTTTGTTTAGATTATTATTTACAGTCCCGCTACAAGTACCCGCTGGCTTACCTGTTGGGTTACACGCTGATGTGGCAAATCGGCCCAAAAAGGTGACCCGGTCCAGATATGAAAAATTCCCAAATTCAAACACCCTTTCTTTTTCAAAATTCACTTCTCCAAATTCGAATCAACGGCACTCCCCAAAAATCTCCCAAATCACTTCCCCCCATTCTCGAGTACAGTCGACGGTGATGGAGACGGAACCCCAACCCCTCCTTCGACGGCGACGGCGAAGCTACCTGAGTGCGAAGAGAGCTGCCAAGAAGCTAAAAAATTCTAACTGGGTGCGTTGAAAGCTCGCGAAGGAAGCTCCCATCACCCGTTCCCAAAACCCGTCTCTGAGTGCGAGGAAAACTCAAAAAAAATCTCCCGAAAGCCCTTTTTTAAGTGCAAGGAAGAGTGCGAGAAAATTGAAATAAATCTCCCAAAACTCGTCGAGCATGTTGCAAGGAGAACTCAAATAAATCTTCCAAAAACCGTCGGCAACTGTAACGAAAGGTATGAATTGGTGACACCTATGTCCAAGTTAGCAGTGTTTGAATTTTTCCAATTTAGTAGTGTTTCCAATTGAAAACCACTGGGCAACTGTAATTTCCAAGTTAGCAATGTTTGAATTCTTCATTTTCTCGTTCTGATTTCAAATGTTAAGTCGATTGATTTGTTGTATGTTGCTTGGTTGTGTGGTAGAATGACAGGAAGGAAGGCCGGAGTGTGCCATAGCTGTAGGTCGAAGGGGCATTTCTTTGCGGAATGCTCGAATAAACGACATTGCCCTTGGTGTAAACATGGCTTCGTGAAGTGCTTCGAGGTCGAAAGGGAGACTAAGAAGAAGGGCAAATTGTTCAATTGCTGCAGTGCTAAGTGTAGGTACTGGGAATGGGTCGATAAAGGAGAGTCATGCAGCAAATCATCCAGTACGGTCACTGTTAACTTAAACAATTCTACAACAACCGAAGAACTTCAACAGATAAATCGCACATTCCAATCTTGGTTCGGGTAGTTGAAGAAAGAGACATTGAAATTTCGGTTAATGTCTCAATACGCAAAGGTAATGGAAAGGTGGAAGTGGATACAAAAGGGAAGGGACCGGCTTGAATTTGATGTCTTGTTGTGTAAAATGTGATGGTGTATGGTGTAGATGGTATAAATGACGAATTGTGTATGAATTGCAACGTGTCATTAGTGTTTAAATTTGTAGTTGCTAAGGTTTCAACTGTAATGTTGTTGGTGTCTCTAGTGTAATGTTGGTGTCTGTCGGTGTAATGTAAACTTTTGTTTCAAGTGTAATGGGGCTGGTGTTTTATGGTATAAAATGATGTTGCTGGAAATTAATTCTTATTGTTTGTTGATAATGAGACAACAAGTGATAATGCATACCATTTAACTATTGGAGAGATATTGGGAAACAGAATATTTCAACTTCAACTCATAACCTTAAAACTCTGCATTTCAAATAAAAACTTGCCATTACAATGAAGTCACTTACAACAAAGTTAAGAAATTATATGTCTATCTTACATACCATCATCAACATAAACTAGCCATACACAACAAGCCATACAACAAAAACACATTTTTTAATACACAAAAAATGTGTATCTTACAACAAAAACATAAACTGAGGTAACAAAAACATTGATCTATCTATCTTCCAACACCAACAAAATCTTCCAAGCATTGAGCATAACCGGTGTTGACGATGGAGTGTGACTGTGGTTGAAGGGGTGGCTGAGCAATTGGTGCCCCTCCTCCCTTTTGACATGGGGGTGCCCTCTGTCTCCTTCCCTTTGCCTGCATAATATGGTACAAGTTATAAATCGTTACTAATGTACGTACAATATGCTACAATTTATAATTTTAACACATACCTTGCCAGTACTAGAACTTGATTCCAAAGGGCCTTTCGTACGAAGTTTCTTGGGCGCTCCTTTTCTCTTCGAGCATGCTGGATCCTATATGCTCTCCCTACCAGTATGCTGTGATGCTCCATTCCCCAAATCTAACTGGGGCATATCATTACTTCCACAAATGGATTGCATTCTATCCACTTCAATATGTCTCGGGTCTGCTCGTCGTCATCTACAGTCATGTTTGCAAGCAAAGCAAATGTCTGACACATGTTCTCATTGTTATATATTTAGACAATAAATATAATATGTGAAAAAA